TCAACTTTACTTTGTGTAACACCTCGACTTGAGACTTAAATAGGTCAAGGATATTACCACCATTGACTTACATTTGGAGTGCAATGAATATAAGTCAATAAGCCTCCTCCCTGAAAATTTTTAATTTATTAGCAAAGTGGACAATTCTCGTATGGGGTCCCTAATAAATGGGAATAATAGGTCCACATTAAATAAAAATTAGGTATAAAATTTTTCTAAAAATTGACTAACATCAATTAATATTCCTACACTATGTATAAAAATATTAAATATCATGTTTTGGTTAAAAATCCATATCCTTGAAATTCGGATCAATCATTTTAATAAAATACCTTCCATTAAATTAAATTGAACCATTTCTCTTATTTTTCTTAAATTCTTTCTAGAAATTCATATAGAATTTAGTTTATGATTATTTAATTTCCACATAATCCATACAATAGAATAGGATTATTTGATATTGATTTTATTTCAAAAATAATTTAATTATCATGTGTTACATTTAATTAGAAAATAATCCATGAATAGTAACCATTAAACCAAGATGTTATGCCATTATTTTTATAAAAATTTCATAGGCTAGGAAATTATTTCAAAAATTCAACAATGCATTTAATAAATTCATTTAGACCTTTAAATAATACTCTGTCCATTTAAAACATTTTTTTGAGCTTATGGAACTTTGGTTTTTAATTTATTTAAAACTAACCTATTAAAGGCATTTATTTATTAACCATTAACTTCACTTTATACCTTACCTTACTAACTCATTTAACCATACCATTTCAAGTTCACATTCTTTTATCATTAACTTTTAGTTACTAAACTAAGTAACTAATTAGCTATTACATTCATTCTACCTTTAATTAATTCTTATCTATAATCAATTATCTCATTTAATCCATATTGATCAGCCAAGTAACCATTTAGTTTAACAATTTATGTAACTAATCAACCTATACCACAATATCAAACTTCAATTTTTAACCATACTATTCATTAATATATAACACCATTTGCTTAACCTACTACCACATATACACAACTCAAAATTAAGTCAAGCAAAGGTATAGTTCCTCACACTACGACACATTAAGCACACAAAAACGAAAGTCTTCATCTTTTCTCGACGATGATCCTTAATCATCTTTCTTTTCTCTTATACCATAAGAAACATAAGTGAGCGATGCCCAGTAAGTGTAATCCATGCAATGCATGTATTGCATATTATGCATTTAATGCATGTGATGTATTTAAAAATTATTTTCGTGCCTTTTGAAATTCATTTTCTTCTTCGAACGCATCATGTCGGTTGTGTATATAATCGGTTCTCTTTTAAAATATGCAATTATGAATACTTCATAAAAGTACTAGGTACCTTCCCATAACATTTTCCTTTACATGCTAAGAATATACACCAAATCATTCCCTTAGCATGTCCTCATTTTTCTTCGGATGCGAAGAGTATACACTAGATCATTCCTTTGGCATGCTCTCATTTTCCTTTGCATGCTAAGAATATACACCAGATTATTCTCTTACCATACCCTTTTCCTCAGAGAGAGTGATCATTCCTCTCTCATAACCTCAAGAAGGTACCTAGCCATTCCTTTTTGAAAACATGTCCTTTCCTTTTTTTCTTTTAAAAAAAAAGCATAAAGTGAAATCCTTTTCATGGTTATGATATGTAAATGCATTGTATGAAATGCAATTCTTCACCTTTCCTTGTTCCTTTCCTTTTCCTTTCATCATCATGAATGTAAAACGTCTTTCATGATGTATTATTTATGTTACATGTTATTGAGGATTGAAATTATGCAAGTTAAAGTTTATGTTAATGCATTGTATTTTTAATTAAATGCATTTGCATATCATAAATCATGAAAGACGTTTTACATATACACAATTAGTAGGATGTGCTCAAAGAAGAAAATGAATTTCAAAGGTATGAAAATGATTTTTAAATGCATCATGTGCCTTACATGCATAATATACACTATATGCATTGCATGGGTTACACTTATTGGGCATCGTTCACCTTTGTTTCTTATGGTGTAAGAGAAAAGAAAGATGATTAAGGATCGTCATCGAGAAAAGTTGAAGATTTGCGTTTTTGTGTGCTTAATGTATTATAGTGTGAGGAACTTTACCTTTGCTTAACTTAATTTTGGGATATGTATTTTTGGTAGTAGGTTAAGCAAATGGTGGTATGGGTTGATTAGTTATATAAATTGTTAAACTAAATGGTTACTTAGGCTAATCAATACAGATTAAATGAGATAATTGATTATAGAAAGGAATTAATTACAGGTAGAATGAATGTAATAGCTAAATAGTTACTTAGTTTATTAACTAAAAGTTAATGATAAAAGAATATGAACTTGAAATGGTATGGTTAAATGAGTTAGCAAGGTAAGATATAAAGTGAAGTTAATGGTTAATAAATAAGTGCCTTTAATGAGTTAGTTTTAAATAAATTAGGAACCAAAGTTCTTTAAGTCCAAAAAATATTTTAAATTGCCAAAATATTACTTGAAGGTCTAAATGAATTTATTAAATACTTTGTTGAATTTTCAGAATAATTTCCTAGCCTATGGAATTTTTATAAAAATAATAGGATTAAATCTTGGCTTAATGGTTACTATTCATGGATTTTTTTTGTAATTGAATGTAATGCATGATAATTAAATTATTTTTGAAATAAAATCAATATCAAATAATCCTACTATATTGTATGTAATATGTGGAAATGAAATAATCCTAAACTAATTTTTATATGAATTTCTAAAAGGAATTTTAGAAAAATAAGAGACATAGTTCAATTTAATTTAATGTAAGGTATTTTATTAAAACGATTGATTTGGATTTCAAGGATATGGATTTTTAACCAAAATATGATATTTAATATTTCTATACATAGTATAGGAATATTAATTGATGTTAGTCTAATTTTTAAAAAAATTATACCTAAGTTTTATTTAATGTGGATCTATTATTCCATATTTATTAGGGACCTCATACAAGAATTACTCACTTTGCTAATAAATTGAAATTGTTAAAGAATGAGTTTTATTGGCTTGCATTTATTGTCTTTCAAATGTAAGTCAAGGTCAAAATAATATCTTCGACCTATCGAGATCCTAAATCAAAAGTGTTATGCTTTATGCATTCTTAAAAAAAGGAGAAAAAAAAAAAAACTCTTAACTTTGTGCTATTAAATTGTAACACAGTATTGGCTAACCCAATTTTTTTTTTTTTTAATTAAAGTATTTCGATACGAGGATTGAGCTACATTTATTAAGAATCGGTCTTCGCCCTAACTTGACCAGCTCAATTCATCAGTGTCCTTGTTAGAGACTTCAAGGTTATATATATATACACCAAAATTAAAATAAATCACATTTTCTAGTGTTGCTTCTAGCTAGCTTTGTTAAACATTGTCAAAACGATTTAATTATTTTGAACTAACAGTAGATATTTAGGGACCAGCTTAAGGATAGAAAAGGTTAGGGCACTTGGCATAGAAAATCCTAGCAATCGCATTTACGCACGTAGTTGCACTAAAATTGTCAAAGAAAACACCCACGTCAATATTACACCCTCACACCATATGTACACACATTACAAACTCTTAAAAATGAAAATAATAATAATAATAATAATAATTAATTATGATTCTTCTCAACTAGCTGTCCAGTAAATAACTCACCTCTCTCACTTTTTTCCACGAGTAAGTTTATTTTCTATTCTTGTATAAATCGAGTTGGTTACCTAAAGTGGACATTGAATTGAAGCTCACCCTACCTTGGAATTGTTTATATATAGCTTATTGATTGAAATGAATAATACCCTTCTTTCCCACCCTTGTTTCTTTGTGGCTTTCCTTCGCTAAAATGCAAATATTTTTTACAACAACAAAATGAAGATTTTCTGGTTCAGGTCACCTAAATTACATTTCTCACCTTCCGCCCTTTTTGAACTTTCACACGCAAAATATAAAAAAGCAACAATCTTATTCTCACACGTGGCAGGGCACGTTAAAAGCAATTATCACACACACTCAACTCCATTCTTATTCAATAAATTTCTTGACATGGAAAATAATTTACTCTTTTGGTTTGTGTTTAGATGATCCGCTTAAACCTTAACAAGAAAAATATTTATCGTAAATTTATAAAAGCGTTTTTTTAATGGACAAGGAATTCTAACCTAAATTATTTACATGTTAACTATCTAAAGTTCAAATATATATATATTGCTAACTCAACATAATTATCATATAAAATGATGTTTATAAACTTAAATGATACTAATAATTCTATAACGATATGAACTATTTTTTTTTTAATTTTTTTAATTTTTAATTTTTAATTTTTTTTGGCATCATGATGGGTTGCAAATAGGACTACCGCATAACTCAACTACTAAATCACACTCTTGATAGTTAGTATAAAAAAATTGATCTTAACATACTTTTAATATAAAAGAGCTAAAGTGCTTATATAAAAATAAAAAAATATATATAGAGTAATTAATAATATTTATTTTATGATCTATTTTGATAAAAAAATATTATATAAAAGAAAAATATATTAATTATAAAAATATTTTGACCTAAACTTAATTTTATAAAAAAAAATTTCATTTTTTTCTTTTTTCTTTCGAGTTCTACTGAGTAGCTATTATTACTTACTTTACGAGTAACATAAAATTTATCAAAAAAATACAACCAACAACTTAACAAAACGTGTAAATTACTAAAATAAAAAATGAGATCACTACGCTAAATTGTTTCCTTTTCATCTCTTTTTGAACAACTCACGCGCTTCTTTTGTTAGTTGAGTCTATAAATAAGACAACTAATTCAGAATCTTTGAGAAGTCCAAGCTCGGAAGACCCTGTCCTGTTATAAAAATATCCCCGCCTGAGAGTAACATATCCGGTTATCCCTCGCCGGAAGAGTTCTTTTTCCGGCGAGATTTTATATTTTGTCAAGGGACATGAGAAAAAACTTGAAGAAGGTGAACGGCCAGCAAGTGAAGATGGATCTCTCAATGGATGAGAAGACAGAAAAGGTGAGAAATTCAAAGCACAAAATGAAGAAGAGGTCGAGATTGTTGTCGTACAGAGAGTTGCCTGATTATTTGCAAGATAATGAGTACATATTGGATTATTATCGATGCGAATGGCCTTTAAAAGATGCATTTTTTAGTGTCTTTTCTTGGCACAACGAAACTCTCAATGTCTGGACGTAAGTTTTTGATTATTAATTTATTAATCAAATAACATTAATTTATGCATTTTTTTTTTATAAATTCGGAAATTTCATTTGTGTTGCAGGCATTTAGGGGGGTTTTTGATATTTTTGGGATTGTTGGTTTTGAGTTTTGTGGAGGAGAGCACGGAGAATATTGGAGGTTTAATCACCAGTTTCTTCAGGTTTTTTTTTCTTTTTCTTTTTCTTTCTTTCTTTCTTTTGGTTAGTGCGGAAATGAATTTTTTGAGTTGAATTTTTTTTTTTTTTTGCGTGGGACCTACAGAGCACAAGCTTCTGGACCGTTGATGGCACTAATGATGATGAAGAATCAAGACTTTAACGTCTCTGACGATCTTATATTTCCTGTAAGTCCTCCTTTTCTGGGGGCTTTTTTTAGCTTTTTATCTTCTTCTTTTTCTTACATGATTTTAATTTTGAAGCAATGACTGGTAGGTAGGGATAGCAATCATGTGATTTTTTATTCTAGGTGGTAATAACCTTTGGCCACACCACGTGACGCAGGGATAATGTACATTTAACTTTTTCCTTTTGCTTTCTTTCCCTTCTTTTTAAGAAAAAGAAAACCCTTTTTGAAATGTTATCCTCTCTGAATTTTTCTGAAAGATCAAGTAATTGAAAGCTTCAATCTTCACAGTAAATCAGAAAAAATAAAATTTATTGGTTTATCGGTCGTGCTATATATTATATGGTATGGACATAACATGTGAAATCTCCGTGGAGAGAGATATGCACTTCTCAATGGTGAAAAGTAGCAAATCTTCGCAATTAAAAAATTAGTAGCACACGGGATGGTGTTGATATTTGTGATTATTGTCGTGTGAAAGTTTCCACTAGGAAATGACAGATTCCTTCCTTCATTTCTTGTCAGCCATCAGCTGCTGCCTCGCTATTGCCGCGAACAGTAATAGTGAGGCAGCTCAGCACCTGCCATATCTATCTCTCTCTTCTTTTCTCAACTCTTTGCAGTTTGACAAATGTTTGAGCATCCAATAGTTATTTGCAAGAAAAAGTCATCAAGCTTTGGAAGTTTTTTTTTTTTTTTTTTCTGTTAGTAAGAAGGGAAATTCATTATGATTCAGAGTTGCATGTATTTTCAAAATAAGTAGTGATGAAGAAGGGAGGCGAGTAACTGGCCAGTTACGGTATTTTGGAAATTTGAAGAGATATTGGTTGGGTTCGACTAGGAAAAGAGAAGGGCAGCTGTTAGGTTTTGTTAGGACTGACAAGTGACCACATATTTTATAAAACAATTAATACAAAAAGTCAACGGATAGGATGTAAGATTAAGGAAATGGATTGTTTAAGAATTATTGTTATTATATTATTAAAAAAAAAACTTAAATCTTAGTCCTTATAGATTATGCAGTGTTACTCTCTAGGCCTTCAGTTTTTTTACATTGTTCAATGTATAGTAGTAGTCTATTACAAATCCATTTTTGCTTTTTTCTGATTTTTTTTTCCTTCCTAATAGAAAGAGTCTCGTAAAATTGAAACTTGATTTTACAAAAATTCATTTATTAAGTCTTATAGAGCAAAATTAAACTTAATGCTTGTTTGCAGGATTCGGTCTTTACGAGGCACATTTCACTGCAATCAGTCTTCCATAAACAGGATGGTTTTGATAGGGCCATTCCTAGATGGCCATGGTTTGTTTTCTTGTATGGGGCGATGATGTGCTTGGTCTGCAGCTCCCTCTCTCACCTCCTTGCTTGCCATTCCAAACGCTTCAATTTGTTCTTTTGGCGCCTAGATTATGCTGGCATCTCCCTTATGATAGTTTGTTCGTTCTTCGCTCCCATCTATTATGCCTTCTATTGCAACCCCTATCCACGGTTCCTTTATCTAACCTCCATAACTGTGCTTGGTGTGCTTGCCATCATCACCCTCCTTTCGCCTGTTTTCTCCACTCCTCGCTACAGACCTTTCAGGGCTGCCCTATTCCTCGTCATGGGTTTCTCAGGGGTGATTCCTGCAGCGCATGCAGTTGTCCTCCACTGGGGCCATCCACATATATTTGTATCCCTCGAATATGAGCTTGTTATGGCAGTTTTATACACTGCAGGAGTTTTCTTTTATACTACTAGAATACCTGAACGTTTGAAGCCTGGTGCGTTTGACATTGCAGGGCACAGCCACCAGATTTTTCATGTTTTCGTTGTTCTAGCAGCACTTTCTCACTGTGCTGCCACACTAGTTATGATGGATTTTCGTCAGAGATCACCAGCCTGTGCATGGTAGTTAGGTATTTTGTACTAGGCTCACCTAAATATTAACAGCAGTGAAAGCATGTTTTCATGAATTTTCTCCCTCTCATGTTTTAAGACTTTCATTGTAGTATTATAAATAAGTATCTTCCATTCTATTCAAAATAGAGAATAGTTCCTTCAAGTACTTCGCATTCATGCTGGATTTTAGCACTTAATGGGACTGCTTCTTTAGGGTTTAATCTGCCTAGCTCAATTACCAAAGAATGGTGATTCTGTTTAACATTGTGAATGCATAACTACATGCATAAGCTTTACAGTTTGGCAAATGATTCAATACCTTTTTCAGAAACTAACTTGGTGTTGATCTCTTGCAAGATTTTTTTAGAATTCATAACCAAACTTTATAGGTAGGTTAGGAAAATGCTACAATTGCAAGATAACGAGTACATTTGATTCAAGTTGTCTATATAATGCACTTCTGAGGAATCCTATTATGATGGTTGATAACATCTCAAACCAAACATCAAGGGCGATTCATAAGATATTGTAGTACATGCAAGCTACTTGGAACTTTATTTCTGCGGACCTTTGATAGTGTCTATCATCCCTAAGATACAGCCTGGAAAGTGTAAATCCTCCAAGGTTATTGTGTTTGAATTTGACAACCAACAAAAACATATAACCGGGAAATTAGCCAAAAAAATATATGTCAAAAATATAATAAATGACATGAGCTCGCCTCTAAAGTCTAAATTACCGAGTTCCTTCAGTGGTCATCCGGTTTCTTTCCCATGCCAGTCCATCACCGATTCTCTTCCATCGTTGCAATAAAACCTAACGGTATCAGAAAATATACACATTCCCGAGATAGATGATTATGTCAGACTCAGCAACATTGCTCTTCCCCACTCCTTACAGGGGCCTTCAGTTGTTGCTTATTGCTTCTCTTCTCTCTTTCATTGTTATACTTAATGCGTCTCAAGCAGATCGCTTTCCAGTTTCCAACTTGGAAAAGTTCATGAGTTTTTTCAACTTGCAACCTCAACAATATCAGCTTCGCTATCGCTGTAATCTGCCCAACACTTGCCTGGTTTCTCCTCGCTTGGCACGCTATCACAAGTTTCTTTTGCTACCACAGTATCACTAGTCTCCGGGACATTAGCAGGCTTTTCTCCTATTTCAGGATTTGCATCATCTTCTTGATCTTCTTGATGCTCTTTCTCACCTGACTTGTTTTCAACTCCTACTTCGATTGCAGAATTTTCAGTACCATTCTCTGACGTAGCTTCACTCTTGTTTTCACCACCGTCAACAGAAACTAATGTGGGTGTTTCTACTGAACTGACCGGAGAGGCTGGAAACCCATTGAATGGTGCTGCATATCCATCTGGTGACACAGGAATACTGGTAGGGGAAAGGGGGAAGCCATTTGGAGATACTGGCAAACCGTTTGTGGTAGCCATATAACCATTTTGTAGCAATGGATAGCCATTGGGAACCCAAGGTTGGGCAGGCACAAACTCGGCTGCATGTGGGTTCATTATTCTAGGAGGGCTGAAATGATTCCCATCCCCTGTCTGCTCACCATTGTGGAAGCTCGGCTTGTTACGTGGAACTCGACTTCCAGATCTGTTATAACCACCAGACAGCCTCGGACCATATGGAACCCTAGCTGTTGCTGACTGATGAGGAGATCTGCGAACAGGATTGACAGTAAGCAGTGGAGGAATCACTGGTGGAGGAAGAAGTCCTCCATGATCATTGAATCCTGGAACAGTAACTGAACCAAAAACTGGAATTGTGGATGGGTTAAATGGTGGTGCAGCCGCAGAAAGTTTCTTGGTTGTCTCCTTTCCAGTTTCTGCTTCGTCTTGCTTTCCTCCTTCAGTTGACAATGTCTTAGCATTTGCATTGTCATTAGATGGATCCTGAGTATTCTCATCTTCTGCCTTTTCATTTGTAGTTGAAGCATCTTTTTCCAGTAAACCAGCATTTTCAGTTGAAGTAGATTGAGGTTCCAGATCAGGGGAAGCTGCTGGTAAACCTTCTGATGCTCGTGATTCAGGCACTTCTGTTGGGGAAGACAAGGTATTTGGATCCTTAGAAGTATCCAAATTCTCATTACCCAATACTGAAATATTTCCAGCTTCTGGGGTTGTAACTTTAACAGCACCTGTTTTAATTTCAGCACCTCCATCTTCTGTATCTTTGCGATCCTCAACAGCAGACTTTTTTCTTCAAGTTGCTCTGTCACCACCAAACCCCCTACTTCTGTTTCTTTCTCTTGATCGACAGGACTTATCATTCCCTCTGAAGCTGGAAGCTGTCTCTCTCCTTCCGGTTTCTGAAATTTTTGTACCTCTGCAGCTTTTAATGCCGTCACCTCTCCTGATGTGACATCAGTTGCAGCTGTCTCATTGCTACCCTGAGTACCCGGTTCCATTGGAAGATTTCCTTTCGGCAACTGTTCTGCTACTGCCTTGACTATTGTCCCAGGAGGAGCCAAAGCAACTTCTTTATAGGAAAACATTTTTCCAGCCGCCTGAACACTGATTGGACTTGCTTTGGCAACTTGTTCAGTTGAGGCAGGGGTACCTGGGGCTGATTTAGGGTTGCCTGATTTCTCTGCTCCACCAGTAGAGACACCAGAGTCATTTACTTTTGGACTGAAGCTGGCACTCTTAACAAACTTCTTAGGAACAGGAACTGTCAGTCCAGTGGAAGCAGCAGGATCATTTGGTGATGTTTTAGGGGATGCAAAAGGCTTTCCTCGGAATCTTGATGACTGGGGTACATTCATAAAGTTGGTATTCAATTTTGCTAGGCTTGGCCTCCTTGAACCAGAAAATTTGCGGCTTGTAGGTGAACGGCCTTTAGGAACAGCTTCTTGCCATCCTTCATCCGAGTCTTCCTCTTGTGTCATATCATCACTCCTCTTCAACAATGACTGATCTGGAAGACCTGAATCAGATTTTTCATTCCTAGGCTCTGCGAATTGTGTTTCAGATTTGTTTTCTTTATCACTTGAATTCTCAACAACAGGATAAGTTGGTGACAAAATTTCATCCTTTTGGTATTCATCTGAGATTGTGTCCCCATTTTGGCCTGGTTTGCCTTTAACCTGCATGATGAAAAGAAAAATTTAGCCATTATTTCACCAAAGAGAAAAAGGTAATGCCAGTAGCATAAAACGTCCAGGTACTAGAGTTTATGACCTTTGCACGAGCTTTCTTTTGAGCTTCTCTTGCTTTCATACCCGCATCCGGTGTTATATAATCCAAAAGATCTGATACACTGACCCAATACAAGAAAATATTACATACAGTTGTTATTAACACATAATATCAATGAATTCAAGGTACAAAGTCAATGTCAAGAAAACTTGCTACCATGGATCTATGTAAAGCACATATTAGCTGTCTCCTGATTGTTACCTTAAATGACCTTTACTGGAGATTGAGGCATCTGGCTTTGGAGTACCATTGCGTGCAGCTTCTTGCTGCTCCAGAGCTTTTGACTCAAAATATTCAAGCCATGCAGCTGCATCCTGTCAAAGCCATTGTGTACAGATCTAAGGAACAAGAATCACTGGAGAATATGAGATTCGACTGTTGAAATATTAAACTTCATACAACCTGTGTGCGTAGATCCTCAGTTCCAAGCTTGGCCTGCAGTATTTGCAGTGTAGTCTGTTCATGCTGAACACTTAAGGAGTAAGCTTCCATCAATGACAGAGCAATTGCTATGGCATGGTAGCTGGCAGCAGTCTGAAGAAGCCAGAAAAATGTTAAGACATGACAATGCAAGTTATTTACCTTTAATAAGTAGGCAGGTGCATGCATGCACACACAAAATGGTCAAGTGGTTCGCAGGATTTCTGGATTTGTAAACTCAATGTCTAACCTAATCCTACCTTCTGAAATATTATTGGCTTTTCAAACGAGTGTGCCAGTTTTAGCCATAGATCCACTACTGCCTCTCAAGTCTCAGCCCTTCTAGCAGCCCCACCTTATAATTCTTGATTGTTTAGTTTGGTTGCATCTAAAGCTATATGGTACATAGCTAAGGTGATCAAAGTTGAGAGAATAATGAGTTTAATGATGGTAATATCATTTATTGAAATTGTTAACTCTAACCAGGCCTTAAAACATTTTTAGCACAACTACCGAATTAGTTTAACCTTCTTGTTTCATTCTCTAGGCATTAATTATTTCGAATTGTGAAGGCTGTTTGTAAATCATGGAAGAAAGAGCAAAGTAACTTGTGCATCGACCGATGTATAAAGAAAACAAATATTTTCTTGACCAAACCATTTATGAAATTCGGCCAAAAATTAGGAAGCAACCAATATAAGGACAGGCTGACTTGCCAACAGTTAATTGACATGTAAAGTACATCCCCCATCAAAATAGAGAGGATGATTATGCATTTACAATTTTGAAGTCTATAATTACTGTTTTCTATTTTGTGCTTCTGATTGAAATTTGTCTGAATGGCCGAACTATGAACGTTTTTCTTATAGAGAGAGGGGGAGGAAAGAACTTACCTGGATATGATCCGCTCCAAGTAGTCTCTGGTTACACTTGAGAGCCTCATGAAGGTACCTAAGAGCAACATGTACGTTCCCTAATCCTTCTTCCATCATTGCTACATTGATATACGTGGCAGCAGTATTTGGATGAGATGGCCCGCATGTTAGATGCAAAAGATACAGCGCACGATTGACATACCTAGAACAGTAAAAAGGCGGCCATTAGAGCAGTTCCCTTGATACTGGTCATGACTCTGGTTAAGACTTCCTGAAAGAATGAACTATATATTTGATTCTTATAGATGCAGCGCCTGCCCCACTCCAGCACCATAATTTTCTTATCATAAGGGTGGCATCAGATTCTTTGTTTTCCAGATATCAGCGTGTGAAAATTTCCTAAATTCCCTTCTAAGATACCCTTTGGGATATGAAGGCTTTTTCATCTCAATGTTGGTGTTTTAGTTTTACCTCAGAACACTTCAGAAACCTGCAGTGAGATGGTTAATTTTAACTAGTAAGGAACCAGGGAAGCCCTGAATAACAAAATCGGGGAATTGACAATTATATTTCTTTCCATGATTTAAATAGATAAAGGTTCATCTGCTTTTTTAACTTATATTTTATCTGTTGCCCTCCCAGCGAATAAAGTGAGAAAAGCCTGAATTCTACAAGCTAAGAACCTCATTCAAAGTTTATATTCATCATATAGCACCACATAAAGCTATGGAAAAGCTAAAGATGAAAGCGATTGTGGGGTCAGAATGATTTACAAAAATAATTTTTGGTTAGGAAAATATAAAAACGTACTTCAAGGCCAATTCAGTATGTTGAAGACGATAATAGAAGACAGCTAGATCCCCATAACTTTTCATTGTATCAGGATGATCAAGTCCGAGCTCCCTCTCATTAATATCCAAAGCTTTTTGTTGATAAATGGTAGCCTAAATAAAGTGGAAGAGGTCAGTACTGAAAATCACTACGTCAATTAGATGTAAAGCAGAAATATATAAAAACATAGAATGCTACGTTCGAATCTTGAAGGTAATACTTCAAAGTAAGTACAGCATACTCTATTTGGTTTGGAAACTGCTCCCTTTACAACTTTTACCTCACATGTGAAACTGATGCTTTGCTTCATTCAAATTGCACTTAATATACAAAAGACTTTCGAATTTTAATTGCTTTCTTCTTTTGGATATCATGGACTTCATGAAAAGCTCTCTGCTTTATTTATATTACTGTTTAAAATTTCCCCCGAGTTATTAGGATGATCAATACAAAGATGTATGGGAGTAAATCCTCCCTTATTCTACTTGTGATTCTCCACAAATAACACAGAAGAACATGGCAATGCACACCAGGATGGAACTATAGATAGAATATTAGAGACCAAAATAGAGAGACAGAACTCAGAGGCTCTTGGATCTTGCTAATTGCACAATGGAACACATAAACCTCGAGATCAAAAGAAAAAAATAAAAAAGGAAACTCACCAACCACGTAAAAGCACAAAGTATTCTACCAAAGCTTCAGGAATGGAATGGCTATCTAGGTCTTTTACATACTTTAAACACTCTAACCTTTATATCCAAGCTCTTTAGGACTTGCAAGCGTACAGCTACTCTTAGATCTTTTTCACAGTCAAACTCAGAATATTATGTCAAGATAAGCTTCATGAGGTCAGGTACCTATGATAACTAAACATGTAATAAGTTTCTTACTAAACTTAGCTCTCAACAATTACTTCTTTCTCAGAGTTTCATTTGTATCCTTCTATTAGTTTTTTAATTATCATCTTAAATCCATTTGGTTATGCAAAAATTCATCATCCTTACCATCCATAGCAAAGCCGAGAGACAAGATAGTCATCTTCAACATATAACAAAGTTGAACAAAATTGTGTTCATTCTTAAACATGTGATCATCAATAACACCAAATGAAGAACCAAAACAGATTAAAACAAGGGGTAAAATGCTGTTCAAATCATTTCGACATAGATACAAAAATGAAATTAACTATAAATTCCACCAGCTTAAGTTTCTCCAAAGTCCCAACAACTAGATACAAGCTACTACTTATTCCTTGCCATGCAGTAGATGTGTAGAATTTCTAGAGCATATTAAAGCACATACCTGATTAAAGTCCCCAGTATGGTAGAGAACTACAGCCAGAAGACTATATGCTCCTGCAGTCATTCGATGGTAAGGGCCGCAGACTGACACAAGTTTTGACAGTGCCTTCAAATTCAAAATGGCATATATGTTAACATTACTGGTTTTATAAATTGATCAGAGTAAGAAGTCAGCTCTACAAGAAAATTTAAAATTTACCTTAGTTCCATAGTTTACAGCATCCTCCAATTTACCTTTATCTAAGGAAGTTTTGGATGATTCTAGCAGTGTACGTCCATCTGCAGATGAACATGCAACATGCTGTACGAAAAGTAAATAATCAGCAACTAAAAGAAAATTGAAAGTTTCCAAAACAAATGACTAGTATCTTTACCTTGTATATAGGGACCATGCTTATAATATCGGACTTCTTGAAAGGAGAAGCATTGTCCATATCATAGTCCCTGGGAAGAAGCTCCAGGCCAACCTGACAGAAGATGACTTCACTTATAAACTTAAGATGAATTATACACATTGTGAAGCTTCTCAAGCAGCAGCAGAAGGGTCATATGTTCAAACCTTGTGGGACAGTCCACGAAGAATGGCAAACTTTCTTAGATCCTGGCAGCTCTTATGCTTCCACTGCCACCCAAACCTCTTTACAAGGAAGGTTTCCACCCACTTCCACTTTAGTTTCTCATCGATTATGATATCTGTGTCCTCATTTTCAGTTGAAGGTGTTCCTAACAATATATTTAGACATGATGCAATGCAAACAGCCAAGTCAGTAGCATTATTAACTGATGCTACAACAGCTTGTAATACGTGTTTGTAGGCTCGGACAATCATTTCATGGATACAGAGTGATTGCACATGAGGGAGCTTGTCAGCAAGTTCAACCTAGAATGATAAAAGGAAAGAAAAAAATAATAAAGCTTCTGAATCCAACTACATAGCTAAGCCAACTACGATAGCATTAACAAGAAATTTTCTTTTTTGGATAAAATGACAAGAAAGACAAAATTTTCACAAAAGGGAAATTACCACACGCCCCAAAGAACACATCTGCAAACCCCTTGTATGCATAAAATCTGTCAATGTTCTTCCATCAACCGGTGACAGTTCCAGGGAGCCAAAATCTGCCACCTAAGAAAGTGAAGACACGCAAACCATGTGTTAACATTGAAACATCTTCGGATTCAAAAAAGCAATGTCGATTATCAAAAACTAACCAGTTTTGGAAGAGCAATTTCAGCATAGTATTTATGTGCCATTTCAATCAACTCATCAGGTGTCTGCAAAATCAACATACCACAGAAAATATGAATCCAAAGATGACTGATTGATAAAATCAGAATAATGTAAAAGGTAGAATAAACAATTGTTGCTGGAAATTAATTATAGATAACTAATGTTAAATATTTAGCATTAAGTATAAGCAAACTAATGTAGAAATTCAAGGCTCTTTGAAGATCAACTCTTGAAGAAATGAGTTAGTTATTTTAAGTCTTGAAAAACACACAGAACAATGTTTAACCAGACAGATGTTTTCCTTGGAAAGTAGCAAACAAACCTTGAGGTGAAGACTGGTTTCTGATTCTTTAAGTCGCAGATATGCTGCTTCAGGAAGCAACTTTTTCCACATGACTTCCATTTCCTCATCTTTTTTCTCCGATTCATTCTGATTAGTGCTATCAGAGTTTTTGCTCATGTCAACGTTGGTACCAGCAGAAACATCTTTTCCCTCTTCAGTTTTGCTGGTTCTGACATCAGTTTTCTTCTTTATCTCCCTTAACAATGCACCTTGCTTTCCAAGCCCCTTGACAGCAGGTTCAGGTTTAGTATCTTCAGTTTTCTTAGCTTCAGTTTTCCCTGAAGCCTGATTTTGCAAATGTTGAACCCAACATGCTCCTAGCTCCCATCTGATAGACTTCTTGCATTTGCTGGATTCTTCCTGCAGCTTCAACAAACTATCCTCTAATATCTTCCTCACCAAAGACCTAGCAGAGCGTAAATTTTCAAGATCTCCACCTTGTAGTCGCTGGAGTGTACTAGATGATTGAGGCATAGATGGCTTATGCAATAGCATTCTCAAGCTGAAAAGGGATTTAAGGAAAATGACAATTAACATCTGAGGATGCTCTTATGAAGCAATGGATTACATTATAAGCCGTCAATGCGATAATTTCTCTGAATAGTGTGTCTGTTCAAGTATGATTGCATACACACATCCATGTGTCGTCAAGAAACAGAGAAGAGTTAAAAGAACAAAAAACAGCCATCTGATTTAAGAGGATTCCAACATATAAGCAGTTCGTTAAAACCAATTCATGGATAAATGCATATGTGTTCAACAGCTAAAAAGCATTTGAAATGAACTGACCTATTAACATTTAAGGCATTGGCACCTCCTTCAGGGTGATCCTCTATGGAAATGTCCTGGGGAATAGGATTCCCCTCCCAGTTCACCTCAGAAGAAACTTTAACAACAGCTGTGAAGCCACAATGTCGAACAACCACAACACCTAAAGTGGGAGTATCCTACAAGATCAAAGTTCACTACTTCAGCAACTGATACAGCTACTTCAATCAAACATAATGAGAAAATGTAGCATTAAGTCCACTCACATGAACAGTTGCACTTTCATCAGCAGTTATGCCCTTAAGTAAATTTCTCCGAGCAAGCTCTTCCTGTGACACTCCAAGAACCTGACACCCATCGTTTTTACAATCCAACTTGGTGCTAGCATCTGACACATCCCTCGTAATGATAATAATCAAATCTCCAATTCTTTCCTCATGCAAAACCGACTTGACAGGATCACTTAAAAAGCACTGATTACTTTCAAGGATACACTTGATTGCTGCAACAGCTTTAAAAACAGAAACATCAACAAATAAACTATGAAGCAAAAAGGCTTTCCGGTCCCGAACTTGCCTCTCTTCTGCTGTTTTACAAGGCATTGCTGCCAGAATGGCAAACTCCTTTGCCCATGGCCTGTAATCATGTTTCCCATCTCTTCCTTGTCCTCCTCCATTACCTCCCCAATTCTCATCCTCCACAGGAAGTGGCGGAAAAACAAATGGATTATCAGCAACAACCGGTGGAACAACCCACGTGTTCGCCCGAAAACCGTAAGGAAGGTTACCAAACTGAAACGATAATGAAAATCAAATACATGGTTAACAATCAAACTTCTCTTATAGTCTAATTAACAGCCAAGGGCTAGAGAGAAGGTCAGGCTTACTTTATTATGCTCAGTGAAAGCTTTCATAAGAGCTTTGTATGCCTACAACCAGAAATTATGGCTTTAAAAACACCACCAGAGACTGACTTTCAATTTCACAGTAAAATAAAGCAAAACCACAAAAACGACATGTCAACTTAGATTTAAAACTTACAGCATCAAAAATTCTGCTAATCTGCTGCAACAAACTAACCAAAGAGTGACAAAGAAGAACGCGTTTTCCAGCTGGATAAAATCCTTTCCGCGATGCCACAATCGTCATTGGCTTCCCACTGCAAACCCTAACCTGCATTTTTCCAATTCCAAAAATATTCCTTCATTAATAAACCAACACCACAAAAATTCAAATTATTCCTAAAGAAAATAACTCTCACGTCTATCTGGAAGAAATCATCTTCCGTTTTATCTTCAAGGAAACGCCGATTAGATCTCCTGATATCTGAAGTCAACAAAATTCAAAAACACTGATAAAAAATCGGAATATTTTAGAATAACTATAGTTATTATTATAATGAAAATGAAAGTTTACATTGAACCGGCGGCGTGAGGTGCGAGAAAGAGAAGAAGTCATAAAACTGGCCAAGCCGTGGCGGCCGACACATGGAAACCGCCGCATCCGCTTTCTCCATCCCTTCGGTGCAAGCATCCTTCCCGCTCTTGTTCTCGCTTTTCTTGCTATCTCCGCCTGTCTCAGTCGAACCGGTCTCCTTTGAACCGGACTCCTTAGAATTTCCGGTTCGACCCGCTGTTTTGTTCGGAGAAGTGGAAGAGACGCCAAATGAGGTGGTGCAGGCGACAATGTCGAGGAGACGCCGAATGTGAGCGATGGATTGGTCTTCGGTGTAGTCCTCTGGAACAGAAAATTTGAATTCTCGTTAAGCAAAAAAATTCGGGAGGTTTATCGGTAGTGGTAAGGTGTTGGTAGTGTGTAGTGAGATTGGGTGAGTGTTGAATTTATGACCGTTGATTTGTTGGTTTACCTTCCACAATGGTGAGGTGGCAGGGTTTGAGCGAGATGATGTCCACTGAATCTTTGAGTGTGGGTCCCCGTACCTATGATTGTGGCAGGACCGTAGGAGTCAAGGAAAAATGGCTGTTAGCACTCCCATTATTGCTTATTACACTTTCCTCTACCCTTCAGGGAAGTGGAAGCAGTAGTCTTTTATCATAGGTGGAAAGAGAAATGCTATTGCTATCTGCAGGTGCTGAACCGATCCAGCTGATCGATGTGCGTAATACTTACGTGTGTATGACTTGACGCATTATGCTAACTCGGTATTGGACGCTTTTAAATGACTCTCGCATTGCTTTTCAAACGAAAAACTCAAGAGTATATTTTCCCTTTCTATATTTTGTTTGTAAAAATCAAATTTGAAAATAGAAATATATATATATATTTTTTTGAATGTAAGAAAATAACAATCGGTTGTCAAATTTTTCAAAATTAAACAAAACGATTTTCAAAAATTGTGAATGGTCATTAGTTGTATTTTTATGTTAATAAAAATATTCAAATCAATCGATTTTCTATTTTTATTTAAAAAAATAAAAACTAAAATAAAAAATCATATCGAAAGATTCTTTAATATTTTTATAAACAATGTGAAAATATATGATTCTTTAAAATTATTTGAAAAAACATATTAATTTTCAATTAAAGTATAAACTGATAAAAAATATTTTTAACTATAAAAAAAATGTAGATTTCAATTATAAGTATAGAATAAATGTGCATGGCAATGTGATTTCCACAATGGTAGTAATAATAATTGACTGTTTATTTCATTCTTTCTCGTTAGTTTATTATTATATATATATATATATATATATATATATTGGAATGGATCGAAGTAGGTTTAATTTCTCAAAGATGCTATAATCGTAGTTTAGCAATTTTATAGCCATAACGCCCTTGTAAAGTCATTTGCGTTTTTGGCAAAAAAAAAGGAATGTTTTCTTTTTAAGAAAGATGTGCAATAAAAGTACGCGCACAATGCTCAATGACAAAAACTTAATGAATGCTAAAGATGTAATAAAATATAGATTACATGATCGCCTAACTCGATAGTATCAAGGGATTGTTTGCCTCTCTCTTTTGTTTTGTTTTTTTTTTTTTGCCCTTTTCATTTTTTATTCTCAAGATGTTTTTCTGAAAATTAGAAAAACAAAGCTAGCATCCTTTTTAAAAAAAAAAAAAAAACTTTTTTATTTTCTTAGACAATAGGAGTAATTTGACTGTTAGTACTTCAAGTAAAAAGTTATCTTTTTTAAAAAAATTTGAAAATGTAACTTTGAAAAATAAAAATCAAACCGGTCCCATATATATATATATACCCATAATACTCCCAGTTCCCATCAGTACAAGCTTGGGAATTAAATGAAGTTGAACCGTGGACAGCAGGACCACACTCAGAACACACAGCATGTTGTTCCCAGAACAGAAAATAGGCCCATTAATCAGACGGCAAAGATCATGCTATGATTGTGACAATATGAGAAAAATTAGAAAGTGTTTGATAGGGTCCCTTGGTCGCGTGCATGTTAGCAACAGATAATAGTTTGGGGATTAAAGTAAAAATTATTTAAAAAATAAGGACCACTTACCTCGTGAGATAAGGAGAAATTGGTCAAATGGCATGTCTCGACATGCACACCCAAAAGCTTTCTTATATCTAAGATCCTGTCTGTAGAGATGCCCTACAAATATATGCAACAAAAAAAAAGTTCTGAGACTCCAAACATAAAATATAATAATAAAGGAGTATAGAAATAAATACCTACCAAAAACAATAAAACAAATATAAAAATTTAGAAGACAATATAGTAATAAGGAAAGTACAACTCATTCATAATTATTTTAACAAAAGAGTCTTTCTTATCAATAATAAAAACAAAACAAAATAAAAGAAATAAATAACCCGTCCGTCCCATAATTAATAATCAAACTCAATATATATAACTTAATTTTGAACAACTTTTTCTTCAATTAATTCTATATTTGTTAGAAAAAAAAACTATGAAAGTATTAATTAACTTCAAATTTTCTAATTAAAACAAAACTTTAAAACTCTATATATGCTAATATTATCAATTAAGAAAGAAAGTCAAAATTTAATTTTTTGGAATTACTATTGAAAGCCAGTTATATTAACGGTGTCGAGGTGAGGGAATAATTAATTGATAATTAGGAAATTTAGTACATTAATTACCTTGAGAGTCACTTGAGATTCGTCTGGGGTTTCAACGGTGGCTTCGATGACTGTAGGCAAAACTGTATATTTCAAAATACAAAATTATTCAGCATTCCCAAAACAAAATTAATAAAAATTAAAGACACCAATTCAGTCCATCGACTTTCTTGCATTCATATCACATTGCATAAGCATAATATATATATATTTGTATGTATATAATTTTTTTTCTTTTCCAAAAAAGATATAATGTACGTTTTATCTAAATAAACTAGCTAAAGGGTCCAATAGGGTGCAGAGAGGATAAGAAAATGGAAGAGAATTTTTGAACCATACATTTCGATCTTATGTAGGCCCTGATAATCCAATTAATCAAACTCAAATCAGATAAACATAGCTATTGAGCTGAATATATATATGTATGTATGTATGTATAAACAACCAAAATGGAAGCGCAATATATATAAATGTAAATATAGAAAAGAAGAAGAAGAAAATATTATGACGATTGATGCAATATTGAGTATGAGAGAAATGACCTTTTTCTTCCTTCTTCTTTTTCTCTCCTTTAGCTTTATGAGGCTTGGCCTTTCCAGTTTTAGGAGCCATATTGTGGTGAATAAAGGAAACGAAACCTGTTTTGATTGGTTTCAAGAACTAGTCCTTCAATTTGACGATAAAAACTATATCCCAAATTGAATTTATCGACTAAATTTCTCTGCATGCAGAAAAAAATTTACAGAATCTTTCGTCGAATACTCATAAACAAAACCAAACAAGAAACCAGCATATGTGGAGCAAAAGAGTAGAGGCAGCACCAAGAAAACAAAACAATAATGCAACAGTACTGCAAGAATCTTTCGTATCAGAACAAAGATATTTTAGATGATTATGCTTTATTATCACTATTTTTTTGTATTTCTTTTCTGAATTAATAGAGGGATGAAGGGAGAGAGTATAGTATGCCTAACGTAACCAATTAATCGCACAAGCAAGAAGCTGCTTTTACATGGTGAGGAAAAGGATGGGGACAGAGTGAAGAAAAGAGAAGGAAGCGAATTGAAGTTTTTGTAGTGATATTGTTGAGCATAACAAAAGTGTCAAGCGAAAGAAAACTTGGGGACAGGAGTTGAAGGAGAATATGAGAGAAAGAGAGAGACTGGTGCTCTTGGGAAGAAGATATAGAAAGAGAGAGAGAGGGAGGAGTGTGTCCGAGAGGTGGATAGGATAAGGTAAACCAAGTCCTTTCTTGTACACAAGCACGTAAGAATGTAAGGCAAACAATTTCAGGCCTCTCATTTTTATCTTTCCTTATGACCCCCTCATCGCTTCCCTTTCTCTCTATCCCTCTCACGGACCATCATCGCTACGTACCCTTCTTACTTCTTTCTAGATGCGCAAGTTTGTCATTGTAAAGTTTGAAACGAACTAATAGGGCTAAATTAACGGTTCATATCATCTAGCTCGGTGCTAGATTTCACTTGCTGGCATGATGGTTCTAGAACCAACAAATGTGTGCCAAGTGTGTAAGAAACCATTAGGTAGTACATGATACGGCAACTTAAAGAGTGATTGGGTGGTGCTTCCTGTACAAATATTTCAGTATTTTTTTTAAAAAAAAACATTCATTACACTATTTGAAATATTATTCATCCAAACTCAAATGTGTTATCCTTTTCACTATACAATGACATTTTTATAGTTTTTAAGAAATTTATTATGAAAATTTTTATAACATTACACTTTGATCCCTCTTTTTTAATTATTATTTTTTTAGTCCAAAAAATTTTCATTTTATTTTGATCTCACTTTGTTTTGTTTGTTTTTTTTTTTTTTTGTTTCATTTTAGTCACTTTAGTTATTGCTTTTTTTTTCCTTTGATTTTTTAATTAAATAATTAAGGCAAAAAGATGTTTAAAAAAAACAATTTGCAAAATATGTTTTTAGTAAAAAATATGGATAGAGATAAATAAATAATTTTTTTAATAAAAAAATTATGAAAATATAAAGAATAATTAGTCAAATACAAAATTTTGATTAAAAAATGATAAAATTAGATGAATTTTTATTAAGTTTTGATTTGATATATTTTAATACATGCACAATATAATATGGGGATATTAAAATAAAATAATTTTATTTATTTTATCCCATCTCGTAGCGTTTCTTGGGTAAAAAACCTAATATTAGACTAAACATAAAAGAAGGGAGAAAAGGATATATTTATTGTAATTAGTCTATGAAACATGAGATGTTTTGTCATCTCTCATTTTATGATTCTTTGAGTTGCCCATATGACATATTTGCTATAAGTTGAAAGGATAAGTGTAAATTGTTTATATACTTTAATGGATCTATAATTTAATAAATTACAATTTTTTTTTTATAATGAATATCATTACCATGTATTTAAATTTTTATATAAACTTTTAGATCTTTACGTTAGAGTTGATATATAAATCTTTACATACATGTAAGTACTTGCACATATAAATAAACATCATTTTTATTCCAAATTCAAGACTATTAGGTACGAATCTATTCTTATATATACACCACTTTACATACATGTGCATGTATCTCAACAATCTTTATCTCGCATGTGAGTTCTATATATATATTGAACATTTAATCTATATTGAACATTCTCTTTCCAATGAGAGCACATTCAATATATCAAGCACAATAGTCACAATTCTAGAGTCATAAAGTTATCAAAAACTTACCAATTTTTTAAAAGCATACTCATCAAAAGCTTGCTTCGCTCTCGCTCTTAATTCTAGAGTCGTGTTTCATTACTCATAAACTATCTATGACTCTTCAATAATACAAATCATATTCATATATTATTTATCATTAGATTAGGTCCGGTTAGTGTAGTTGCGGTTTCTACTTGTAGTTGTTATCGTAGGTGTAGGCGTTAGTTGTGGATCGTTATAGTTGTAAAAACATGTTTAGTAATTAATGTGCTAACATGCTTTGATATTATAACATATTCATAAGATCAAAAACTTCAAAATGTAATTTCTTATTTTTAGTTTCTAAATAGTTTTGAAAACAACTTTTGGAATATTACTCTAACCAAACTTAGTCCTTAATTATCGAAAGCTATTATCAATGATATTATACAAATTCTTGACTTATAAATTTAGTAATCAATTATCCTAGTTTTAGGAGATATTTTAGCATATTTTTTTGTATATATATTTCCTTATACATAATAAAAATTTAGAATCATATTCTCTTATTTTGCAAGTGTTGACATCAATCGACTAAAAAGAATTTTTGGGCCCTTTTTTTCGCTAGCATTTACTCTATCAAGCAATATTCACCATTTGGCAAACATGGCAGGGGCACCAATTTGTCTAACTACATCTTATTCTTCAACTATTTGGATTATTGACGTAGGTGCAACCGACCATAAGCTTTCTAATTTATCTTTATTCACTTTATACACCACCCTCTCTCATCCATCTTTCGAGTCATCTCCTTAATGGCGTTCATTCTCTAGTTACACACATTAGAACTATGACTTTATTTCTTAGACCTACACTTACTCATGTCTTATATTTCCCATCTTTTCATTTCAATTTACTTTCAATTAGTAAACTCGTAAATATTTTTAATTAGTATGTACATTTTGTTTTTCAAATTTTAGTGTATTTCGGGACCAACAAACAAATACGGTTATTGCAATAGGTAAAAGGATAGTGGTATTTATTATTTGTAATAGCCTCCCTCATCCTTTTCTTTCACCATGGCTTATGGATCTCACTTCGACTTCTAGCATTGGCATTTAGGCCATCCATCTTCTTCATTATCTTCGGACTCAAAAGCACTAGATAATGGTATTTCGCTATCAAATAAATTTACTTCCACTATTTTACCTCTTGCAAAACATTCTTGGTTACTTTTTTCTAATAGCATAATTTCTTCTAAATTTTATTTTGAATTAATTCACTTTGATGTTTAAGGACTATATCAAAAATTGTCTTTATCTTATGCGTGTTATTTTTTTGCTTTGGTCGATGATTTCTCTTGTAGTACATGGATTTTTTTTATATGAAATAAATCTAAAGTTCATAGCCTCATTTTAATTTTTTTTAATTTTTTCATTTTTTGCTATGGTTTTGTAACACCATCAACTTAAAGGAGGCCAAAAATGCTATCGGCAATGTTCCACACTCGTGGGATGCAATACGAGAAACCTCTCTACTTCGTGTGTGAAATACAATGCATAATGAAAAACTTTTAGTTAAAGTCCAAGGTAAATCGTGGATTAAACACATGCAAGGCCAATTCAAGTTTCATAAAACATAAGACCATTTAAAACTATTTCAAGTTTCATAATTGGAGATCGTTTCACTAAACCCTCACATTTATAAAACCATTGCATTATTTCAAAACATAAAACCATTTCATAAACTTCCAAAGTCACATATTCATTAACATACTAAAGTTTGCCTAAAGTAACATAAGTTCATAAACTAAATGACTAAACATAAGAGACACAAAAATGGTCAAACCTAGGTCTTACTAAGCCTTTTAATTTTAACCTACATGTATAGTACACACTTGGTAAACTTGGCTTGTCACTTCAACACCTTCAACTTCACATCAACCTATCGTGCATCATTTTGTTCAGCTATATCACAAGACAAATGGTGAGTTAATACTCGATAAGTGTAATCATGCATGAATGCAAGCAAATTCATTATTCATGAGACTAAAATATGTTTCATTTCATCCTCACAAAGAGTCTACACTAAACCATTCTCTTTGTGAGCCATCTTTGAATATCTTAAAAGTATATATCAAATCATTTCCTTAGCATGCCTTCTTTGAAACATATAAAAAGTATACACTAGATCATTTCCTTTATACGCCCTCTTTAAACATGTTTAGTTGTGAGCCTTTTAAAGAATATACATCGGATCATTCTTTTTACAAGCTCTTCTTAAAAACATGAATATGGCTTTTTTTTTTAATACTTGAAATCATCATAAAACATCTCCATGGCATGAATGCAATTAGGATGCAATTTCTCAAGCAAACATATAAATATAAGTCAAGTAGCATTAAACAAGTCATGTGGTTGAAACCAACACATGAAACAAAACCACATAGCAAAAATTCAATACATGAATCGAAACCCTCCATGATTTTGCAATTACTCTCACCCTTAAGAAACACCTAAGCACTTAACCAAGTGACACCAAATAACCATGTAACTCAAAATCGTCAAGTACACTACAATTGTTCCATCAACCACTAACTATATAAAAATATAACCAAGTGACATTAAATAACTACATAGGTTAAAATCATCATAAGACATCTTCAAAGTTTAATCATCCAATAAACACAAGAATACTAATCACATAACTTTATGAATGTTCAATCCTTAATTAAAACATGGATACAACACCAAGTAACTTCAAGTGACACTTAACCGAATTCACCAAACAACACCTTAAATGATCCATCATCAAGTGATCAAATAACACAATCCAAATAACATCTATATTCTATCAACACTCAATCACATAACATCAATATCATATGGCGTATTTAAGATTACATCTATTAATTCTCTAATAAATACATGA